TTGATTTATTTTTTAATTACATATGTACGTACAAAAGTGTCGTAAACCTAATAAAATGTACTATAATAGCGTAAATAATTTTAGCTAGTGTTGCCCTAAATACACACCAACACTTACATAATTTACAATTCATAAAATTCTAAGACTAACTACGTTCACCTTCAGCGAGGTCAACAATTAAATTATACTCAATTATTTTATAAGTAAAAACTTAAACTAATATAACAACATTGAAATTAATTTATTTGGATTTTCATTTATTAGGTGTGATTCTTAACTTGCTACAGCTTTTGTCAGCACATTGGCGAAGAGTAGAATTTTAAGCACAAAGAGAGCGAAAGAGGAAAAAGCAAAGAAACGAAAATTTTTCATCACGGTATATACACACAACCATGCTTCATATGCATGTACAACTTACAACTTACTTTCATAAATATATTTTGCAATGTCACAATAGGGGTATTCTCGAAATCTTGCAAAGCTGTGGCACGTAGCTCGGATTGCATAGATTGCATAATTTGCAAACACACAACAACAAAATATATGGGAAGCAACATTTCCTACCGCTCGTTGAAACCCATGTATATATTTTACAAAATAGCATAGCAAGATAAATGCTACTCTGCGCTAGTTGCTTTGTTGTTGAAATTGCTACATATTTCTCTCGTTCCTCTCATTTCGCTCACTTCATCTTTTTGCTGTAACTTGTTTTTGTATTTGATACAGAATTTCGCTGCTTGCTACCTATGTATACTAGAGGTGGGAAAATATCGGCGAAACTATTGATTATCAATGGTTTGTATTTTCATACAATACTATCGATGTTTTAAAACTATCGACTGTAATGTAACCCGCCGCACAGTGGGGTAATTGATATCGATATTGGAGATTAATTCAAAAAACGAATTTCAAACTACAAAGAAGTTTTTAGCACCAAATGAAAGTAGATAAATTCCACATCACTATGCAATCAAATACTTTCCCGAAAATTTACCGTTTTCCTGCAAAATACTCTTGAAGTCGGCACTTTTGCCTTTTAGTGTGCGCAAAGTGAAAAACGTGATTAAATATTTCATATTTCCAAGCTATTTCTGAGTTTTCTTTAAAGATATATCAAAAAACTGCAATGGAACATTCTTGCTCAGGTATTTAGGCAATACAAAGTGATCTTATTTTTCTTTTACTATAGTTTTATAAAAAGGATAAAAACGAGGGTTTTTTGACTATATACGTAGACATATAGTTGTGAAGTGGGTTAGATCAAACACAAGTGTTATCATTTACATATACCTTGGAGAGTATAGTTGAATTCTGTAAAAAAAAGTTTCGGCATGTCTGCGCATTTTTGCAGTATATAGATTTATATAATACTAGCATACCCGGCGAACTTCGTCCCGCCCAAAATTAGATTTTTAGTTTAAACATTTTGGTCCAACATTTTCTCCAACAGTCCACGTTTACGACTTCCATTGACACATTCACCGGCTAAGATTATGGTTTGGAGGTCTTATGCCGCATTAAATAACCTAACGAAAGTGTTATGTCCATGAAGAAGTTCCCTGGCGGCAACAATGATCCGGATCTATAGTGAATCTGCCCCAGAAAATTTATGTTATAGTTGGTGGCAATTTCAAAATGGGTGCGTATCATTGTTCAACAGAAATCCTATATATGTATGTACATACACAGACTTCTTTCAGAAGAAATACCTTAAAAGCCAGTTCCATGAAAATAATTTAAGTGAAAAATGATTTTTTCTATCAGGTTCCGTATTAAATTCAAGTAAAAAATTCAATTTTCATTAAATTGCTTTCATGAAACTGGCTTTTGAGGTATTTCGACAGGTGGTGATTTGAGATTTAACACTGCACAACTCAACCCTGGTGTCTCCGAACGAAGCTTTAACGCATAATAATGTTGGCAAATCACATCCATTGGGCCAGCCGTAACACACAAGAGTTCGATATACTCAATGGTTCAACAGGTCGATTTAGTCTGACATTCACGGCACCTTTTCTGACTTGTCGATTTTTAGTAATAACTCGACCTCAGCACCACCTGTCAGCCCTTTTTTGCAATTAGACTGCCTTTACCATTTCCAATACATGTTTTGAACATTCGCCAAATCGAACCATAAAAAAGATTTTTGGTAATAACTCAACCCCAGCGCCAACTGGCGGGTTAAGTTGCGAAGCTAAACTATCCAGAGACCCACTCAAACACACACACACAAAACTTTGTTAAGATCCCTCTAGCCGTTTATGATTTCACTCACAAACATGCCTACAGAAGAGTTATAACTATACACATTAAAAATAAGTAAAAGTCGTTTGTACTTTGCCATGCCCTTTTTTCAAAAAGCCCATTTTTCTCCATGAGTATGGGATTGACTTCATATATCTCCATACGAAGTTCCAGTACTGTACCATGAACACTTCCAGAGATATGCAGTATGAAATCCGGCTTGTATGGTAGGTGCTACGACCCCTTTTCCAATAGCTCCATATTTTCTCCATGACTATGCGACTAATTTCATATATCTCCACACCAAGTTCCAGTACTCTACCAAGAACAATTCTAGAGATTTGCAATAAGAAAAATTCGACTTGTATGGGAGTTGCCACGCCGGTATAAAGTTCCAATACTATACCATATACACTTGCAGAGATACTTATTATGAAAAATTCGGTTTATATGAGAGGTGCCACGCCCCCTTTTCAAATAGTCCGAATTTTTTTTCATGAGTATGCGATTGATTTCATACAGTCAGCGAAGCGGGTGAGCTCGATCTAGTATGTATATATATCCATAGGGTCCTCGGAAACAGCTCTAACGATTTTGATGAAATTTTGTACACAAATAAAGTTTAGGATTATAAGGTTAGCTGAATAGGTACTATCTCCGAGAAGACTCGTATAAGGTTGCCACCTATTCGAAATTAGTTACAAATTAACTAAAACATCTTAATATGGGTATTAAATGGAAGGTATTTTAAGGATCCCTAATTAAAAAATATTTTTATTCGGATTGCCACGTATTTTGAATCGCATACTTATTTAACTCTTTTTTTTGGAACAAGGTAAAATATTACTGTTCATGGGTACCGAGAGCAGGTTCTTAAACAATGCTTCCCCTATATACAAAATATTATCCGTTAGGATAATAGTGTAAGGTTGCCACCTATTTTCGATTCTACACAATTTATCTAAAACATCGCAATATGGATATCAAATGAAAGGTATTGTTGAGAACTTAGGTCAGAAAATATTTTCCACTAGGGTTCCCACCGTTGTATTAATACAAATTTTTATTTTGTTAAGTTCAATCGGCATTTTTGTATGTATACACAGTATGTACACATACGTTCAAGATATGTACCATTAATTCCAGCTATTTCAGAATAGTGTTGCCACCTAAATTTTGGAGTCAGAAATTTACTTAATAGATATCGAAATCCAAATTTTTCTTTTTCCCAAAATATTTTTTTAAAGCTATCCAAATCTTGAAAGCTTTAAAAAGTATATGTACTCCGGGCAAAGCTCGGTGAACCTGGTACTTGCTTATAATATCAGAATCAAAGCAACTGTACTTATAAGGAATATATTGGCACCATATTCACTTGCATCTTCGTTTTTGATTTGGATGATAAGTGTCCTGGTCGAAGGGTTCAGGATTGAGGCAGCCTAACGTACATGCATAATTGTTTATGCATATGTATGAAGATATGTAAGTAAATGCTGGTTCGCGCGACAAACTGATGTAAATCAATACAAATTGTTAGTAATTTTCATTAGAGTTTGAGTAATTCCTTTCGCCTTTTGGCTTTTAGTAACTTTAACGAACGCTTAACTTATTTTATTTTATCCATTTTAGTGCAGTTCATATATTTTTTTATTTTTTTTTAGTTTGTTTTCATTTTAACTCGTCGGCCGCTGTGGTGTAGTGGTAAGCAGTGCGCGCTTCCACTCCGAAAGACCCGGGTTCAAACCCTGGTCAAAGTAACATCGCAAAAAATATAGGAAAAAAGGTTTTTTCTTAACAGCGGTCGTCCGTCGGCAGGCAATGGCAAACCTCTGATTGTATTTCTGCCATGCAAACAGCTTCTCATAAAAATACACTCGCCGTTAGGAGTCGGCGTAAAACTGTAGGTCCCTCCGCTTTGTGTGACAATATCAAGGCGCACGCCACAAGTCGGAGGAGAAGCTCGGCCAAACACTAACATATGTGTAAGCGCCAATCTATTATTATTATTATTATTCATTTTAACTTGTCGCCACCAATGCTAAATTGGTGTGAATGTTTTTGCGTGTTAAATTGAAAATTAATTTTTTTAATTTTTTTGTGTGTTAATTTTTAAGAGTTTTTCTTGGCGTCATTAATATGTTTTAGTTTTTAGATTTTAGTTTTAAAACGTTTATTTGTTTCGCCACTGCATTTATTCTTTACGCCAGGGGCCTCCACTCTCTTACCACACGCCGCTATGTAGTGTTGACTGGGTGCTCCGCTGGGGTCGCACTGTTCTGCAGATTCTGCGTTGTAGACAGTGCAGCTGCTTCAGGCGCGTTGGCAGTTTATGCGTTCGGTTGCCGGGTCTGTACTTGCCAGAAGCCCGGGAAACCGAAGTCCGTTAAAATAAAAACTGTTTCAATAATAAAGACGTCAGCTCGGGTTTAATGGCGCGTATGGAATGACGCCAATTTATTTTTCACTTTTTGACTTAACGTTAGCTGCTTTCGTACATACAACAGGGTTGCATTTTCAATATCGTAAATTATTAATTATTTGTTGTACTAGATTAACTAAAGGCGAATTCATATAAGGTGATTTGTAGTAATTTGTAGGGTTGCACAAATATATGCTTTGATCGCATTACACTAGAGCTATGAGCGTATCACTAACAAAGTTGATGCTTCGGTTGTTTTTGGTTCCAATTGGTGTTGTGAATATGGAAAATTCCAAAAAATTTTTCATTGTTACATTGAATATTTAAAATATGTAATTTATATGTTGCAATCTTTCGCAACTCTGCATACACAAACAGTTTGATTACCGCAGTATAACAGTATACAAACATTGTATTGATACGCTTTAGAAGTTCCTACGTTCGTTAAAAAAAAAAAAATTAAAAAGCTGTCTAAGTAATTGAAGGTGTACATAGAATTTTAGCATTAAATTAATACTTACGTGTAGCGATACTCAACGTGAAGTTTTGAAGTATTGGAACTAAATTCACTTTATCAACATTAATTAGTGCGTTAAAAACGGTTGTTAAGTGATCCACTTCTTTATTGAAAATCGGTATAAAATTCAATAGTACCTTATGCCCAAAAGCCGGATTTAGAAGTTTTCTATGATAACTCCATTCGGGATCTGAAATTGCGCCAAAGATCATATTAAAATTTTAATGAGAGCACTGGAATATGCATACATCAATGAAATTATTTTTACCATCTTTTGTAAACAAGCCTGGTCCTGTTGCATCTTGTACCCCTTTATAGATAAAGCTTTTATTCACACAATTTGATGAAGTTAATATTTCTTGCGCTATTTGTGGCTCGCTCACAACAGCTATGGGAAATGGGCCAATCCAGGATAAAAAAAGGCCACCATATTCTAACTCCTTGTTCTTTAGGGTATTTAGCATTTCTAGAATGAAAATAATTGCATAAATATCTTTCGTACAGGATGGTTTTATACTTTATGTGAATATGTAGTTGAAACTAGCCCAAATTTCAAAGTAGTCGTAGGGCTAATTTTTATATGAGAGTGAGAGACAATACTCCACTGAACCTAACGCTATTAAAAGGCTTGTTCTTCATCGATTATACCCTCAACCTGGTGAGGGTCATTTCAGTACAAATATTGCAATCGATTTTTAAGCAACTCCGCGATGAGCTATAGATACGCTGATCATCCGTCCTGTATTATACGGGACAGTTCTCTTTTTTGACCCATAGTCCTGGTAATTTATTAATTTTATACGGGACGCCTAATGTTCTGTATTTCTTTTAATGTCCTGTATTTGTCCCGTATTCGGTGCTCCGACGCCTTAACAGCTCATTAAAATGGTATGCCTATGAACGAGTTTTAAGTAATGTTGGTATATAATCGTAATTTTCTTTATAAACAGTTATTATTTTCTAATCTGAATGCCTGTTTATTTAATGTTTATTATTTATTTTATTAAAGTAAAGTTCCTTTCCTAACAAAAACCTTATGATACCAAATACTTTGTGCACAAACTACAAAAATTAATTCTGCAATGCTTCACCAAAATTTCAAACTTTTCAATTACAATCTTTAGAAAAAAATTTGGATTGCAGTTTTGTAACTCATTAAAATTGAGTATAATAAATTGCGAGTGGAAAGTGCTTTCAAAAAAAAAGGTCGAACATACATACTTTGTATGAAAAATATCCGTAACACTGTCAACAAAAAAAGGTTGCCAAAAATTAGTGGTAAGCCTTACCGACTTAAAATTGCACTTTATTATGCTAAAATTTAACGAATTTTTTTAACAAATTTTACGGGGTAAAAACCTCTACAAATTTGTGATGTTGTTATAAGGATACTGTTTCAGGGAAAACCTTATGGAAAAAATTTTCAAAATTATTTTTTGTCCCGTATTCGGCTTTCATAAATATGGTCACCGTAGCTATAGACTTTACATTTTAAAAATAGCTTAGAACCCGAAGTCATTGCAATATTTGTTCGTTTCTGGTTCCATCGAGGTTTGTAAAAGGAATATATGATTTCAGTTTCTTACTTATTGCATCTACTTGTTCTTCTTCTTCTTGTTTGGCTTTACAACGGCTTTCATTGCCTACCTATGGGTGTCGAGTCGATGATTCTTTTCACCGAAGCCCCGTCATCCATGCGTACAACATGATCAAGGTAGCGTAGTCGTTGCGCTTAACTATATCCATGTCGTTAAACAGCTCGTACAGTTCATTATGCCATATTATTCGGTACTCTTTACCTAGGCGAACAGGGCCACAGATCTTACGTAGAATAGTTGTCTCGAAAACCGCCAAGGCCCCATCTTTGTTCGACATCGTCCATGTTTCTTCGATATCCAAAAGGACGGACATGATGAGAGATTTGTAGAGCGTTCACTAGCCGTTCAATATGCGAATCACTACATTGAGCTGCACGCTTGGTCTCATTTCTCAAAAGAAATATGACTAAGTTTTTTCTTTTTAAATTTCATAAATTGTTTAGTGTGACTATTGTTGAAGTTTTAAAATCCTATTCCTATAAGTCTAGGGCAAATTATTTTCTGCTTTTTAGTCCATTTATCCAAACGTTATATATTAAAAGGTTTTATTATATGATTTATTTTTTCTACATTTTAGTTTTGTCTGTATAAAATATTGGAAGTTAAAAATTTTATAGTCAATTTAATTTAAAATAATTTTTACATTCACTTTGCTATGCAAATCTAAGCATTTACCCGTATACAAGAATCTGCGTTTTTTCACCGGACTGTGAAAATGTTATCTTTTAGAAGTAAGGAAAAAATTTCGTATTGTATTTAGTTACGTATTTACTCCACCAATTTACTTAAAATATAGCAATTTATTTCTTTCAAAGAAATCCAGAATACAAACATTTACAGTTGACATCAGTAGAGCGCGTAAAATCATATTTTTGACGCAGTTAGGGTTTCCTGACTTTTTTTGCTCAAAAGTCAGTACTTTCGGCTTTTCCAGCGCTAAAAAATCAGTACATTTCAGTACACTTTTGTTAGATGCAAAGCCTGTACAATTCACTGCTAGCTCATCTCATTTATTTTTACATATTTACGTAGATAAGAGGTCGCGCATAGAGAGTTTATTTTTCCTATAGGAATAACATGTAAACAAATTTTTTGTTCTCTTTTGAGATCAATATAATTTTTTAACATCAATTAAAACACTCGAAAACTATAAGAATACATTGATTACATTCCATTTACATATGTAAGTTTTATTCAGGCTCAGATACTTTAAATTCCAGTAATTCCAAAAAATTATTTGGAATTAAAAGAATCTGAGCCTGCATAAGACTTAAATGTGTGCCCGTCCATCAGTCCGTCTGTCCGCCTGTGCATACGATAACTCGAGAAAAATTGAGATATCTTAACGAAACTTGGTACCAATGCCTAGAAAATAGGCGTAGTCCCGCCCACTTATGATTAGATGTGTAAACTTGGCGCAGTTGTTGGTCCTGATAAAACGGCAGATAACTTTTAAAATCGGACAACAACCACGCCACATCCCATATAACAGTAATTTAGAGAAATACGAAATCTTTGATAAACCAGTAACTACTGAAGCAAATTTATTCAAAATAAATGTTTTCAATAACTATTTGGCAAGGAATACGTATATAAAATTTTTTTGGTGTAATTATCGTACTTGCAACATAAAAGCGAGACGTGGAAAATTCTTGAAATCGGACTAAAATTACGCCCACTTGTCATGTAACGGTAAATTTCAGAAATGTTGAAGCTTGGATATTTCGAAATTTGAAGTTGCTAATTTAATCGAAATTTAAACTCACAACAATCCCTTGAAAATAAGTAACATTATTACGGAATTTGGGAAAATAGGATACCGCCCACTTTTAACTAAATAAGGTTATCTCGTTAAGTCTAATTGAACATACTATCGTATGTATCGGTAGTTTTCGGAATGGTGAAAAACTATAATGTTAAAAATTCAAGAAATTCCCCGAAATTCATTGAAAAATTTACTTTTGGAGTTCACTTTTCTGTAATCTGGCCACAATTGAATCTTCTCGTAGTAAAGCTACTTCAGAAAGGAATTCTTCAACCCTTAAGGCGGGTTCACCGTTCGTGTCCGGACAACTTTTTTCTCTCAAAACATTTTTGCCGGAGAGGGTGCTGAAGTACGGTTCACCGTTCAGTTCGGCATATTTTATTTTGTTCTGAAGCAAACAGGAGATGATATTGTTGCCTACATACGATTTTGAGGGCAAATAACACATGCGATTCACTGCAAACACATNGAACATACATACGATTTTGAGGGCAAATAACACATGCGATTCACTGCAAACACATATAAAGTTGAACGGGGCAACCCGAATCATTAAGTCGTTCGGACAGAAAATCAAAATCAATTTGGTTCTAACAAAGAGTGTTCAGCACATTTTTGTCGCGCTCGGAGTGAGACAAAGTGGGAAAGGAACTAACAAAAAGTGTCTGGATACGAACGGTGAATCCGCCTATTCATGCATACTTTGTACTGCTATACGATTTTTACGTAAAAATTAAAACCCGACAGACTTCTACATGTGAAGTGTTATGCGTTGGGTAACCGCTTAGACGCAAAGCTCATTTAACAGATTCCTTATGTGACAACTCTCATGCAACGCTAAGTATGCAAAGATGAGCTTTTATAGCCGGTTAAAACCAGTGTACCAAACGTATAACTACCCAACACAACAAGTACGAAAAGTTTGTGTTCCTTTTCTTATAATGTTCCCGAGCGCCAACAATACACGATACGTTTCAACGGCAGCCGAGCACAAACCAAACCAATCGTTTGTTCTTTTGCTCACTGGCATGGTTTCGATTTGGTAAAGGTACTCATCCTGAGCAAAAGAAAAGAAATCATCCCTTTAGTGCTCAACAAACAGTGTTACCACTGAAAAGTTTTCGAAAGTCGCAAAAAAAGTGTCTTCAGGTAATTTAAATCTTTTATACCATGTATAATATACATTGTATATATCGATTTTCATTATTTTACCTTTCGAAGCTTATTGGGGCATATTTATAGTCAAAATAAAATCCACTCTAAGCTTAGTTATAGATTTAAGACATAATTTTTCAATGGTAAATCCGTCAAAAAAAGCTGCACCTAACTTTAGAGTCAGTCACAAAAACGGATCACTAGTAGATAACAATTATTATAACAAAGTTTGACCTTTTAAGTTTGTACATAAATTATCGCGGATTATTTGTTTGTTCCAGAAGCCACGACAATAAATTTAACACTAACAGCTCGGAGAAACGCTAAGCTACAAAAGCGGTGGATTAATTTAATGCTACTTCTGAACATTTTTTTTCAGAAAAATTTTTACATAATACATGAGGTGTAAATTTTAAGTGCCTTTGAAAAGTAAATACTAAAAATATTTTTAAACACACGAGAAGAAATATAAACTTATTGAAAAATTATCAAAAGCAAATAAAAGGGCCAAAAGTCGCATGATTTTTAAAAAAGCTTCAGAATAGGGCTATTTTTAAAAAATCGGTGTCAAGGGGCATCGATCTCCAAAAAGTGTCAATTTGAGACTTTAGTCGCACAACGGTAACACTGTCACCAAATTAATGTTACCTATAGCCAGAGAACGTATAGTTATGAGAAGATGCAAATCGTAAATCTGCTCTTCTTCATTATTTTCTGAAACGTTTCAACCATGGGTCGTAACAGAGAAATGCTAAATTTCATGTTACTGTGCTGCAAAGTCTGCAAACCTGTAAACTGAATGTTTATCATCTGTTAACCAAACCAGCAAGTATATGAAAACAAAAACTTGTAATTACAATTAAAAATAAATAAATTATTGGATATGCATTGTATGAATTTTGTTTTTAGTAATTGCTCTACTTATCTAAAACATTATGAATTGTACGT